TCCAACCCCTGCCGAGCGAAGCGAAGGCGGGCTTTGCGTAGTAGTGGGGCGAGCTGGAACAGCGAGCTCCACGGGTTGGGACCAACCATGCCCATCCGCCCGCAAAGCGGGCGGCACTTGGCTAGTACTCTCTACTACTTTCAACTAGAGCAACGTGTCTGCCCGTCTGTCCGTCCGTCACATGGGGTGGGGTTAATAAGGGGGACGCAAATACCCGCATTCTACTGGCTGCCGAGCGCAGCGAAGGCGGCCCTATCGGCTAAAAATATATTATGGTGCCTAGCAGAGCGAGGCGGCACAAACGACACCTCTGCTAACCTTGCGGGACCTAGGGGCCCGCCTCAGCTCAAATTACCATCTAATCATGCGAGTAGTGCAGCGAGCACGCGGCGATCGGAACGGAGGCATTAGGTACTAAAAATATGCCTTGCGCCTACCCCGCGAAGCGGCGGTGCTCGGCTAGTCTTAAACATCAACGCTAGCACGGTGTCTGTCTGTCCGTCACAAAGACCTACCAAAATATTATTGGCTGCCGAGCGGATCGATGGTGGCCCCCGATTGGATAAAATTTGATTTTGCTGCCGAACGAAGCGAGGCGGCTCAAAACGGCAGCTCGTGCAACCTTGAGGTGCCGATGGGCTTGCCTCGGCGCAAATTCGTAGCCAGCTATTCGAGTAGCGGAGCGAGCCATCGGCGAGCGGAACGGAAGCGTTAAGTACTAAAAATATGCATGCGCTTACCCCGCGAAGCGGCGGCGTTCGGCTAATCATGTTAATAATAAGAATAACGAGAACTCTTGATAGTAGACTGTCACCGAAAATAGCCATACACAGCGCAATCAAGCCGAGGATGTTCAAACAAGATATATTGACTTCAATATTGCTGTTGATCGCCAAGCCGACGCAGGCGCGAGTAAACTTAGTGAATGGGAGGGGGGTATCATTTTATAATTATATATAAACTAAGTATCATACTTTGGTCCGTACGAGCTCTGATGATTGGGATACAAAAATCCGCGTGCCGGCCTTTACCAGGTTGTGGATAACTAACTAGTTGCAGGCCTTATTATAAGACTTCAAAGAAGAAAACCGGGCTTCATTTGCAATAATCTTTTTCATGGTAAGAAGTTAAAAGAAGAATGAATACAAGAAAACTTATCATCCCAGTCACGTTAACGTTTAGTTTGTATTAGTTAATATTAAGGCAAAGTGTTTAGCTCCTATACGCACAACTTACATAAGTCAAGGCTCAGCATCAATTAAGCTAGGTATGCTGAAAAATACTCAATGGCAGACGTACTCAATGGCAGTATGGCCTGAACGAGCGTTGGTAGCCATTGCGTTTATATGGTGACATGAATGTGGTGTAGAGGGCACCGACAATGATGCCATCCAGAGAAGATTCTGCCAGATTCGACCCGAAGGCACTTTTGACATGTGTATTGTCAATAATTGATCCTATAGTATATTGGCATTGGCAACTCTAAATAATAGAAAATAGTATTGCAAATCTCAATTATCTATTGAATCGCAACTATTTTGTTCGACCTACGGGATACCGCGGGCTGTCGTATCTGCGATTTTGTTGCGAGAAACATGTTTTTTTATGGAAGTGGCTGCTGCGCCCAAATGAGATGGAGGGGTTGAAATAGAGCGCAATCAAAACGGAGAATACCAACGGAGGTGAGCGGATGCGAGCGCGCGTAGCTGCAGCAAATCCGCACGGGGTGCCCGCAAAGCAGGGCGGAGCGGTATTTGGGAGGGCAGGCCCAGCACCGAGCCCGGCAGCGTGCCGAGCACTACACTCTCCAGGCGAGAGAATCTTTTTATTGCAGGAGCGTAGCGACTGCATTTGCGATGCGCAGCGGAGCCAAATGACAACCGTCCTCTTTTGATTTGGATTGTGAGAGTGACGAGAAAGTATACTGGGTATAGTATGTCGACGCTTTCTGTTTGGTCGCAGCTGCAAGTGCCTTCTAAAGTTTAAAATGGAGCGATTCCCGCAGTCGTGTAGGACAGTGTTAAACAAGCATAGCCGTACGACTATGACACTCAGCTCAAAATTTGGCTCTCCCAGACTCAAAATCTTAGCAATATAAAGATCCTGCAGAGTGTAATGCGCAGCTCGCTGATGAGCTCGGCGCTGGGCCCGACTCCACAAATTCCGCGCGACCCTACTTCGTACTTCGCGAGCTGGTTTGTTATGGCTACGAGCGCTCGTATTCGCTCACCTTAGTTGGCACTTCTGCATGGACACCCACGTCGCCCAGTCCTGTGTTAGTTACATCATGTAACTCATGTATCCCAGCGATAGACGTTTTGCTACTAGAGTTAATGTGACGTTATTGGGCCCTGCCAAACAGAGGAAGCAGTCGTTGGAGGCCTTGGCAAAGAGAGTCAAGGTCGGAGGCGTTGGCGATTCGGTGGCGGAGTCGAAGATGGCAGCGGCGGTGCTGCAGTTGAGGTCTTGCTGAAGGTTGAGTTGAACAGAAGAGGCAAATTGAGAAGTGATTAATCAGTTAGAGTTGGTGGCGGCAAGCTAGTAGTTGCCGCACAACCAGTAGTTCTTGGCAACCGGATATTCACGCACGTATCCAGGTCCCATCCTAAAAACTATCTTTCTCAAATCCTGTTTTATCTGTAGCTACCAATGAAAGACTACGAATCCTAATCTT